GCAAGTCTCTTAGTTACTTCGTTGGTGATAAAGTTCATCAAGTGATCTACCTTGGTTAGTGTTGCACTGTTGATTTCATTGATCAGCTTGTTATAAGTCAGGATGTTCAGTGGAAGGAGGCTGCTAATCTGAGTTTTAATTGCATCCAACTGGCATGGCACTTCAGGTGTCCTTATCGTGTTTTCCCGAAGCAAGTTGTCCTTTTGTTTGTCATCCTTCAATTCACACATTTCTACCCTTAGTTTCTCCAAAGAGAACTTCAGACCTCCTACTTCTGTGGGGGATACCGAGTTTAGACCTGGTGACTGAAGTTTAATTAGTTGTACATATGGTATGGCGATTCCATCATGTTTGATATCTGCTACAACATTTGATGATGTGGTTCCATTAAACGTTGAGACACGGAGCCATTTTTATCGCTGTTGGCGCTAACCGGTTCAGCTGGCACTAACCTAGTGATGTTTCTCCTGTGACTAGCTGGAATATTAGCTGATCCACCCGTGCTGTTACAGGGCGAACCTGAGGCTGGTGTTACCCAGATTTGGATATTATCGTGACACTGGTCTATAGATAACTGTGTCCATGCTCTTTCCCCTCATTTCCCACATCAATTTTGGTACATGAAGTGTGGTCGATATGTTGAAAATTAACTAGTCGTATGACGACGTCATTGGCAAAGTTATAAGACGGTTGTGAAATCCAGGGCTTCGTGTGTACCACGTGTACTGATCGGTGGCTGTTTTGAGCGACGACACATCCCACTGACCAGAGGGTCACGAAAAAGAAGCCTGATCGTGTGCCTGTCCTCAGTTTTTAGTGGGTGACGCTCTGAACTGGTCTTTGTCACTCCTCAGAAAATCACCCTTTTATATTACCTCATATATAACATATTGCTTTTTAACCTAACATGGTGACCTAGAAATGCATTGATATTGACATACACCTTGGTTATATAACTGTGGACGCTTTATTGATACCCCAGATTGTATAAATGGTTCCTCTGTTATTGGCAGAGCTAAAAACAAGATAATTCAGGGGAATAGACTGTTATATTACTGGACTGCAAACTATGGGGATGGCTAACAACGTCCGTTGGTTATAACGCAAACTTCGAACAATGCGCGCTTTCGTGATCGATCGTGAAACCTGTGTGATGGGAGATGAAAATCCATGCCCGTCCTATGAATTTCAGCAAATTTTAATAAAGATTATGCACACCAACGACTTGATATGTGGATTATTCAATAATAATCACCAGTTTGTAAACTTTCAAAAATTGTGAATTTGACAGCGCCTACAAACTGGTATCCCTCAAGTTAGACCCATTATATGGGGATAATATTTATTATTATCTAAACTCTAGCACTCTGCTTATGCTGCAAACTAACATTTCTTTGTTCGTTTCATAACTAGAAGGATCTTCTGACGTTTTTAATAGAGTTTAATGACATTCTGTGTGCATCATTCAGGACTCGTAAAGTCTTGTAGATATTTTGAGATATATCAGCGTGATGATGCCTGTAGACTGGCTTCCCTCATGTTAAGTTTTTAATGTGAGAATAAAACATTCATTTATTTATTCCCTTTATCGGAGGAACTTTGTGCAGTTTGCGTCGCAAGATGCTCACAACAATGTCGTTGATTGAGAAGGAGTGTACGAGCGCAGGGTATAAAAGTTAATGAACTTTTTCTTGAAGAGCTCAACCTAATTTGGTGGCATGGACCAAATGGATCGCGCACAGACATCATTCTGTGCTTCTGAAAGCGCATGAGAGCCCCCTCCACGGAGTAAGCGCTAGGTGAGTTCTTTAGCATCCCATTCAGTGCTATGGAGACCCCACACACCACACACCAGGTGCTCCCGTAGTATTTGACGCGAAGATGAAACAACCCATCTGAGGAGGTCTAGGTTTGGGCTTCGCTGATGTCCTCTTAATAGTGATTTTAATTTTTATCAATCGCCCACCATCACAATTCCATATTATGTTGCTAGAGAATTTCAGGATTCACCACTGGAAAACTGCTTCTCTAAAAACGTCTCTCAATTACCTCGCTGAGTTGTGACGTAAAGACATCCCGACCCGACTGTTTTTAAAGGACCGATCAATGTTGTTTCCAACTTTAATATTTACAGATCTATTGGAAAGATTGGTCACAGGTTCGCTTCCTTCTGCGTTTACGTATCTGATCCACTTACTTCTGATTAACTGCTATTCGAAACTACGGGAGAACTGGTTACGAAAAGATCAGACGAGATCAAGCAGGTTCTGCTTGGCTTCATTGCAATGGCGCTCTTGATGTAGTTTCCAGATGGGAAGTGTTGGGTAACACAATACTTCAAACGACTAGCAAGAACACTGCTATTATTTTCGCGTAGAAACGAAAGGATTTACTTCTACCGACTTCTACAAATACTTGGTAGAAGCTGTCAGATTGCAGTCAATGAATGTTTTCCAACAGTTTGAATGGCTGAAAAGAATGAGAGGACACCCATAACAGATGGACAGCAAAAACCAAAAGTGACATATTAAATTATCAGACACACACAGAACACCGGATGGAAATCATGGTCAATTCCACTGACTGGTACAAGAGAAGAGTGGCCTTTCACTTAGAATGCAGCCTACAAATAACCTATAGATTCAACACACCAACTCTTAGTTAGTCAAGCAAATGGCTCGTGGGTTCCAAAAATAGAGTTTTTTCAAATCTGAGAAACAGCCTCACGCCCGCTGGACACTCGAGTCGCATAGCTTTTAATTTATGTAGAATGTAAGCCGTTTAAAATCGAGGGAATCTCAGGGAGCTAAATTTCTGATAAACCCTAGAGAGTTGACGATTTTCACCCGAAACCACGAAAACAGCGTGTCGATACTCTAAGTTATTCACCTCTCTAGATATTTGTTTTCGGAATGTAGGCTGCCCTTCGGTTGGAAACGAGTGGTTATATTTCCAGCATATAAAGGTGACAACAAACTAATTGTCTTCAACTGTTGGCCAGTGTCCCTGGCCTTTTCATTTGCGAACGTTATGGAAATTGTAGAAGTCAAACAACTTCATGCTTATTCACTTAGGAGCCGATTACTAACTTACTGTCCCGGTGGGTCTTTTCTTACTTGGAAGGTCAGATACCACCAACTCGTTGATGATATGTGATATATGACCTCTCTACTTGGCAAGAAAAGTCGAATCATACCCGACGTTTCCAGGGGTTTTTACAGGGTTGACCATGATACAATTTATGAGAACCTTCAGGTCATTGGTGCGCTCGGAAAATCACCCAGCTGGTTAAAGGATTACCCTCAAAACTTTTGCAGTTAGAATCGACGGCTTCCTAGCTAGCTGGTTCCCAATACTGAGTGAGGCGCCTAGAGATTCAATTTCTGGTCACTCTTATTGCCTGCTTTCGTGAATGACTCGTCAGAGACATACCTAAAGTACTAAATTGGACAAGCCATGCCCTGGACCCCCTCAACACTGAGATTTGTGGGCCAGGTTAGACAGACATGGGTGCAGCTCTGGACCTGACTGCATCAGAACAGGCATCTATCACTAAAACACCGCAACGTATCTGAAGATTGCTCTCAATAACACCCTTAGAAATTCTGCTCGTTGTCACGGTGCAGTGAACAAGGTGTATGGATTCCTACGATTAATTTCCTACAGCTTTATGAGGAATACATCCGATCCTAAGTTATGTCCTTGCAATTGGAGAAAGGCAGTGTCCTCCTGTGACAGGTTAAAGTAAAAGCCATGGAAAAGTCATGTAAACAAACCAATCTTACCTGCGAGATGGCGGTCATGATGAGAGGACTCCGTCAGGTGACCACGCCAGAGAACTGTTACCAGACTCAGGTCAAACCCTTTCTACTTAAGAGCATTCACCTATGGAATGCTCTGCTGTCTGGTGCAGCCACAGCCTTCTCAGTAAAATCATTCAAAAGACGGTTGGACGGCTACGTTGGTCTGTATGGGTTTTCAGAGACAGGGCATCTCTGACCTCCCAAGCCCACTAGTACTAGCTTCTTATTTACTTCTTATAATCTTACCTTTTGATATGCCTTCATCATCTACTAACTCTTCTCTAATAACAAGGCAAACGATGCCTACTTTTGCTTTTCGGGTAAGTGCCATATAGCTTTACCCACTGTCTTACTATTTCTGTTCAAAGACCTGCATGCGCTGGGGTCACAAAAGACCCCTAATCTTTCCACCAACCTTTGAACTCCTAGCCAACTCAGTCTACGAGTTAAAACTGACAACTAGTAAAAGCATCCATCTCGCTGGAGCTAAAAGTAGAAGGGCAGAAGAGATTTGCCTTCCCACCGAAGGAGCAAACGGAACAATGAGAATCAGGCTACATGAATGTAGGCCCATGAGATCAAAACCATAAGTTTTCTATCGTGGCTTGATTGATGTTGATGTTAACAGAAGTAATTGACGTGCGAAACAAACTGTGCCAACACCGCTTAGTTGCTGCCAGGTTGAAAGCGGTAAAGTGCAAAGGGACCAACCGTCGCTCTTAAGCTCTGGTGAGAAGCACCACTATATGTGTTATGCTTTACATTGGGACATGGGAGAGCATGTTCGAAGATCTACGCTAACTCATTTGCAGCTAGACCATGTGAAATATGGAACTACCTTCAAGAGATTATCACACCCCCGTTTCCTGATGCTTTCGGAAAGAGACTTGATGCACTTCTAGAGTCATATAGTACATATGGAATGCCCTCAAGAGGCCATACGTCGTCTTTCAAACGATGGATAGGGGCAGTACGTACAGAAACCTGAGGATCTCTGTGCTTTCAGACTTCTTTTAACCGGAAAGAAATTGACTATTCCAAATTTAGAACCCTGGGAACTATTTTTCGAAACACTAAGTAAGAAGGTTTAAGGTACATGTCACAGTGAAAAGTTGTTGGAAAGTAGGTACTCAATATTTTGTTTTTCTAATGTACATTTGGGGTTATTGCGAACTGTGAGCTTTTTGAACCGTTTTCATGGGTATTAAGGGCCTTCTCCCATTCCTGAAAAATGCCTCAGTCCATGTTAATCTGTCTGACTTCAGTGGCTATGTTGCTGCTGTGGATGCTTACTGTTGGATTCATAGGTCTTCGTACGCATGTGCCTCAGATTTGGCGCTAGGAATCCCAACTGATCAGTATACAACATATAATATCAAAACGTTTCCTTAGATATGTCCGATATGCTATGAAGTACATCAATTTGATGAAGTCGTGCAATGTGAAGCCAATCCTGGTATTTGATGGGATGGATCTGCCGTCAAAGGCAGAAACAGATTTAAAACGCCGAGAGTAGCGCCATTCAGATTTAATTATTTCCTAGGGTTAAAGAAATTAATAGGAAGAAGGCGTCCGAGTATCTTTTGCAGGGGAATAAGGCGGCTGCGCAGGAATGCTTCGAGAGGTCTGTATTTGTCACGTATGAGATGGCACATGAAGTTCTTCGAGTAAGTACCCAACCTGACTTTGCTTAACTGCATGATGTGCGACTATTATTATTGATTAATTTTGTGGTTCCAATCAACATATCTCAGATTTTTCATCATACGCCAATTGTTTCCCTTTCAGTTCTAGTCAGCACTTTCATTCATGATACAAATTTCTTCATAGTATTACTAGTTGCATTGCAATCCCCACCGTTTGCGACTTGTTTTTATTTCAAATTTTTCCTAAATTTTTATCAACAACAGCTCTCCAGTCTTCTACTCTCTTCTGTTAAATGCGTTCACTTTTCTGTGCTTTGTTTCTCGTTTTAAATAGGTTAGATACTTCTGTATTGCAAATACGTACTTGCTGAGCTAGGTTTGGTTGCAGTGACAGCCGTCACAGAGAAAATGATGTCTCTTTTGCTGTTTCTGCCTATGCGCTGGCTGACTGTGGTGTACATTCAATCAAAAATGGGTTTTACCATCAACTGAGTAGCCTGTAAGAGGTGCGCTCAACATATATCTTAGTGCTAAATGGGAACTTGAAAACATAGGTCTGGCGTTTAGGCCCCAATGGTTGTCTTGTTGGTGATCAGTCAAGATAAGTCAGTAACAGGTTTGTTAATAGGAACGTCTTCTGCGGCCTTGTGCTGATCACAATCTCTTTTTAGCCAGTGCTAACTTCCGGTAAGGCGTTAGCTGTAGGGCTGCTTGGCGTCCTCTTTCCGCCAGTCGGTTATAGATTTATACAAATCTTAGTGTCAATATCTAACGGTGGGATGGGCGTATTCGGGATTTCTACTCCTTCTGGATCATCCATTCTTAGATCACACTTCAGTGTATTCTAACCTCATCTCGCATTCTGGTGGTCATCAAAACCATCGCTCGGAACTCGTTGGTGCAGGCAAACTGGTTGTACCTAGTATTGCAACTAAGTATAAAACTAAAATTCATTCCAGACTAGCTGTGGGATTTCCAAAATGTAAAAATAGGTATTGACTGCGTTTACATGACGCCATGAAAACGGCGACAGCTGCTTGTAGCTGAGACGTCCTGCTAACAAAATCCAAGTTTTACGCTACTTGCTTGTAAACATTTGACCCTCGTTTGTCTGTTCTGACGGTCAGCGAGTAAAAGGGTCCACGTAAGTTCCTTACGTTACGGGTAAAGTGGTGTTTTTGTGAGAATTGTGAATCCTAAGGGTAATGCGCGTGATGTAAGCACTAGCCATATTTGTCAATAGTCAGGAGCTTTTCCAGCTAAATTGAGTCACCGAGGGCAAAAACCTGACGTCCACGAGACGTTCTGGGAAGCAGATGGCAGGCCGATCCCTAACTTCCATTGACGTCTAGAATATGGTGGAGCAATTTATAGAGTAGTTCCGTCGATTTACTATCCCAGCAACACCAAACTCAGTGTCTTGTGCTCCATAGTCGATTAAATCAACCCGCCTAACGACGTGGAGGTACGAAAGGAACTCTGTCAGGTGCTCAAATACGTATTACATGCCGAAAATCTCTGCATTTCCTGACATTAGAGCTGCCTTCGATTCGATGTTCAAAGCCGTACTCTAAAGTTGGACAGAGGTATCTCTGAGAAGTTAGTTAACATCTTGAAAGCCTTTTGGTATAATGAAAGTATGCACCCTTTTCTCTGTTGTTTCAAACCAGTATTGTGGTTAAGTAGGGCTGCCTGCTTTTGGAATTTTTCTCTAACTTTGATGTTGGTGGTATTTGTGAGACAGCTGTAATGTGATTGTGTGGTGTTGGCTTGGACCAGTTACCAGATGGAAACATTTCTGACCTCAAACATCTGAATGTTTTTTTGCGACAACCTACAGGCTACTGAAATCACACTGAATCAATTGGAGATCGGTGCCTTTAAGTATGTTATGTTTCACTCGTCTAAGTACAGATTACTTCTGCAAGATTGACAGGAACCCCTACATACACTCTTCTTTAATAGTGGGGCCTTGAAAGTTGTTGAAATTTTATTATGCTTAGGTGGTTGTGCGAGTCCTCGTGGTGACTGATGAGATTTCTAACCGTATATCGGAAACCAAAGCTACATACGCTAATCTTCATCATATTTCGTGTTCTGTTGGTATCAACCTGGCTGTGAAAGGTCGGGTATGGAACACACCGGTGTCGGCAGTTTCTCAGTAGGCCCGTAAAACCTGCCCTTCAAACTGACGAGGTCCAACGACCACGTGTTCGATGACCTTTGTCTCTATGGTCTTGTTCAAATCTGGTGAAAACACCATGCAAGCCATTCTGAAGTATGACAGCCTGTTTATGTGTGATGGAGATTCTCATTCATTCATTGCAACAGCGGCTTCAATGGCTTTCCCCAGCAGTCCTCACACCACTAACAGTTCGCTTGCCCTGGGATCGATTATAAGCGTAGAAGTCGCCGTTGTATGATGTGCTGGCATAAGATGAAGAGTAGTTGTATTTTGTCAACACCTTTAGGTACTTCACAATTCCCTAGATGGAGTCCAAGAAATCATGCAAGCCAGTGACTTGAAATGGTAGGCATGACCAAAAATCAAAACCAGTTGCGATCTTGCTGCAGTTTTTTGTCTTTCTTCTATTTTGAGAAGTGAAACGAAAGTAGTGAATGCTTTTTTGTATCTATTTTTGAAACCACTTCTTCAGTAATTCAAGTGTTTTCTCGCATTTTCCTCCATGTTTTATCGTATTGTTATTCCTTTATTATTTTTGTATGACGCCTCTCTTGGTGCCCACGTTGCACCAGGTTTTCATTTTAAATTTGAGAAAAAGTGATGGCACGCTGGTTTAAAGTGTAACAACTTTAACGGTCACCTGGTAACCCTAAACATCGCCTAGTTCACTAGTTACTAGCCGGTCTTATGCCCGGATAAGGAGGGAAGGTTGAGCTTAGGGCTAGCAACCCTAACCCGGAAAACCAATCCAATAGCTAAAGAGACTTCGAAGCACAAAGAAAATATAAAAAATAAAAATGAACTTATTCCTCGCTGGAATCGGAGAGACGAAATGACGCCAGTTGGTGCAATCCACCGGGGAGCCAATTGGCCGCTTTATCTTCTCTCGATAGAAGCAAAAGTAAGAATGGGGACCTGGAATATCCGCACCATGTATGAACCTAGCAAGGCTGCCCAGATTGCAAAATAGATGAGAAGGTATAGCACAGAAGTGCTAGGAATCTGCAGATGGAATGGAAGTGGACTCCAAACTGTCAACTGCAGAGACAATAATCTACTCCCATATTGTCACCCAGATGACAACCACGAGCACACTGAGTTTTGGAGTGGCTATCATGATGTCCACAAGAACATCAAAGGCCCTCAGGAAATAGGAACCAACCTCCTTCACCATCAGGATCATGACAGCAAGGTTCAACTCACAAGTAAGGAAAGTTACAATCATACAGTGCTACGCTACGCACCTACAAATAATACAGATGAAGAGAAGAAGGAGGAATTCTACAGACAACTGCAATCAGTAATGGACAAGACCCCAGTTGGCGACGGCGACATCAAAATTCTGATGGGTGAGGTGACATGAATGCCACACTGGGAGGGGACAACACTGGAAGAGAACTCATCATGGGTCGAGAGGCACTCGGTGAAAATGATGAATGAGAATGGAAAACTGTTTGCAGATTTCCGCACATAGAACCATTTGGTGATTGGAGGCAGTGTGTGCAAACACAAGGATATTCACAAAGCTACATGAATTCCACCAGATAGCAGGACACACTAAAACTCAGATGGACTTCATCTCAATGTGAAGAAAGTGGAGACGCAGCCTACTGGACACAAGATCAGATGAGAAAGGGAGTAGATGTAGGTTCACACCACTCACTATCTAGTGCAATGAACCTACCTTCAAAATCAAGTTGAAAGCCTTCAAAGAAGTTGGTGACCAACTATAGTTGAAGTTGAACACCTGGAACAGAAAGTAAAGGACGAAACCACAAAGGACGTCTTCACTTTGTATCAGGAAAAAGTAGCAGACATTAAGCAACATCCCTGAAGAAACCTGCTTAGACGAACACTGGAACTGTGTGAAGGAGACGTGATAGGAAACTTGCATAACCGTGTTAGGCAGGAAGAAGAAGCAAGACAAGGAATGGATCTCGATGGATACATGGAAGCTGATAGTGGAGAGAAAGACGATGGAGCAGAAAATAAACCAGTGCAAGGATGAATGACGAAAAGAGGAACTAAACACAACCTAGAAAACCCTACACTGGACAAAGAAATGAAGAAGAGTGCGCGCAAAGGAAAAAGACACTTCTGTGACAAACTTGCAAGTGACCCAGAACAGACTGCTGGTAGGAGAGACCTGACCACAATATATATCAAATAGACAGGTTACTGTCTGGGAAGAGATCAACACAGATGAAACCAATGAGAAATACTGAAGGAAACCTAGTTACCAAAGAGGAGAAACTAAGGAAACGATTGACTGACCACTTCAAAAAGCTCTTGAATAAATCACCACCTGGAACTCGTCCAGAAATACCATCAGCAGCTCAGCTACAGAACTACCAGTGAACGCAAGCCCTTCGACAAAAACATATGTGATGTCCTGAACGCCATAAAGTTACTGAAATCCGGCAAAGCAGCACAACCAGATGGAGTTCCTCCAGAAGCACTGAAAACAGATGCAGAGACAACAGCAGACACGCTCACACCACTACTGCAGATGGTTTGCAAGGGAGGAAGGAAAAGTACCTGTCGATTGATTGGAAGAAGGGCCACCTTGTCAAACTCCCAAAGTAGGGAGACCTAATTCTTTGCAAGAACTGGTGGGGAGTCATGCCGCTGTCCACCCCAACCAAAATATTAGGCCGTATCATCCTGGGGAGACTAAACAATTCTCTGGACTCAGAATTACGACTAGAACAGGCTAGCTGGCTGGCTGGCTGGCTTTAGGACGAACAAATCATGTGCGGATCAAATTGCATCGCTACGCATCGTTATAGAACAGAGCGTAGAGTGGCAGTCAACAGGATCTCTACCTCAACTTCATCGATTTTGAAAAGGCCTTCGACAGTGTCGATCGAGAAGTAATTTGGCAGCTGCTGCTTCAACACTACGGTTTCAGTGCCACAAATCTTTATCAACTTCATTCAACAGCAGCCATATGCCATATGATGCTACATGCCAAGTGATTGACAATTGAAAACTCAGACTAATAATGCCTTCGAAGTGAAGACAAGAAGGAGTAAGACAAGGCTGACGCCTACTATCACCGATGGCCTTCCTGATTGTGATCGACTGGACTGGACTGGACTGGACCGGATCATGCAAGAGACAACTGTGAGGAGCGAGAAGAGGAACATACGCTGCTTGAACCATGAAAAGAGCCTAGAAGATTTGGATTTCACCGATGATTTATGTCTCATATCTTGTCTCACAAACTCGAAGATCTACAGGCAAAAACCAAGAAGTTGACAGAAGGTGCGAGGCAGCGAAGAATGGACTTCAAGTGAAGGTAGTGAAGAAAGAGGTGATGAAGATACCCAACCGACGACGAAGACAACAACAATAAGCACCAATCACCATCAAGGGGAGAAACCTGAGGGAAGTAATCTCCTTCACCTACCTAGGCAGCATCGTTCCAACTACAGGAGGTGGCACAATGAGGATGTCAAAGCCAGGATTGGAAGGACAGCAAGACAGGCCTTCCTGCATTAATCTGAAACCAGTGTGGAGATCTACTGCACTGCACTGCACTACACTCAGCATAACGCGTGAACAACATCCGGATTTTCAACGCTAACGTCAGTCACGTCAGTGCTTCTGTGTGGTGGTTGAGAGACTTGGCGCATCACGAAAAGCATTTCCAACAAACTACAGACATTTATCAACAGCTGCTGCTGCCTACGCTCACTCGATACTGACACTGAAGATCAGATGGCCAGAAAGACTAAGCAACAAGGAACTCTGGCTGGCTGTCAACGAACTAAGTTATCAAGAACCCATCACTCAACAAATATGCAGAAGAAAGTGGAGATTGATTGGGCATGCATTAAGAAGACCGATTGGGGATATCATGCTCCAGGCCCTCGAGTGGAAGCCAAAGGGGAAACGATGGGTTTGGCGTCCATGGGTGACATGGAGGAGATGGTGTGAGGAAGAAATGAAAGCTTGTTTGCATGCAGTGGTGGTGCGAGGTTGGAAAGATTTCAGAGAAGAGAGTGAAATGGAGATGTGTTACTGAAGCCCTATGTTCCACTAGGAACTCAAGGGACAAATAAATAAAATGGTAACCCTAGGTTGCGCGTTTTCATATATTGATTTCCGAATTGAAATGGTTGACGTCTTAACACTTCAATCACCGAGCTACACTTCGCCTGTTGTGAAGAATTTCACAGATGCTTTCTGCCTATATTGAAATACGATGGGTATTGTATCCTAGCTCTATGCAAGACTTTGTATTTAACTTATTCACTGCTGACAAGCGATTGATCATTGTTATTTTCCTAATTTTTAAGGCTGCTCGTAATATGGGCGTCGATTGTATTGTTGCACCATACGAAGCAGATGCTCAGTTGGCCTATCTTAATCGGACTGGTTATGCAGACTTCGTCATCACTGAAGATTCTGACCTACTGTTGTTTGGATGCAGACAGGTAAGTGGTCTTAATGACTTCCATATTGCGTAGAAACCCATTCGAAACTCAAGACATTTAGGATTGTTTATTAGTAAATTTCTTTTGGATTACAGCTGAAATGGAGGAAGTGGTAATCAATCACTCAACTGGATGCCTTCATTTTTTGACTCCTATTATTTTTACGTAATGCAAGGTAGTGGATCTGCTCCAGTATTTACTACAATAGTCATGTAATTCAGAAACTATTACATATTTTTCATACTTAGGTAGATATTGCATCACTTAACTATTGTACCATTTCTAGTCATCTTCATAACACGCTTATTGTTTTTGTATATGACTACTGATTCCTAATGCTTGTGATTACTGCTAACATTTGGTCGATAATTCTCGATACACCGAATTGTCACCACCCAAGTCAGGTACACGAGGCCTTTCGGGACTGTCTGGTTATCTCTTTCAGTAAATTGGTGTTGCTATTTTCTTATGCTACACATGAGTAACCAGTCGTCCAGGCTGTCCAATTAGTATAAAGAATATCTTGTAAATATGTTTTGACATGGTGCGTTTTGTCATGGAGAAGAATCTGTCCTAAGGGCTTGAATAAATCTTTCTACTCATCTATTTTCTAACCATTCATCGAGTTATCTGGTTATGTTAGTCTATCATGATTGTTGTACTATACGCAGTTGTTAATATTAGGGGCTTGATAATATTGACGCGCTTTTAGTCTCCATTTCATTATTGTTGTAATTATCATTCACCCATTCACCAACCTCAGAATGAGTATTAGTATCAGCTAATGTGCTAATTGCAGAATTGAATTATGAATTAAAGTATCCGCACTTAGGATTCACTAGAACTGGTACTTCAGAGTGGCAGTGGAAGAAAGATTGCAACAGTAATGTGTATGCTTCCGACTTTTACAATAATGTAGTCACAATAGCTTGGAGTGAGTTTAATTTAACAGATAGCCAATAATACTATAGTATTAACCATAGATGTACAGCACTAACCACTGACAGTATTTTTACACATGCAGACGTTTTTCATTACTCGATCGAACATAACTTACACATGCGTCCCGTATTTGTTTGAACAGCAACGAATCATCACATTTACGGTCATTAACACATATCAGCTTGTAGACATTTACTCTTAGTGTAACCTTAAGGGAATTTGGAGATCTCTGGTATAAATTATAATTGCGATTTGAACTAGATTAACAGCATGCAATCTATTCATCCAACCATTTTTTTTTCAGCTCGATGTATTGTCTCTTCATTTTTTCTTTTGACTTTGTTCTGTTTAGTGTTTTGTAGAGCAGATGCTAGTTTGGTCATTGGCCACACTTCGTTTATTCTCATAAGGAGTATCTTTTCTTAATGCATCATAATATTGTTAAATTTAGGTCATATTCAAACTTGATTTATCGGGGTCTGGGGTTCTCGTAGCAGCTGCATCTGGCATATGTGAGTGCTGTGGGATCCCCGCCAGCCAGTTTACTGAGTCCAAATTTAGATTTATGGGCATTATGGCGGGTTGCGATTATTTCAGTGGAATTCCTGGCATAGGACTGACTACTGCTGCAAAGGTAAGTACTAATTCCAATAACTTTTCTGTTTCGTTAATCCTTAATTGTTTCCGAATAAGCTGACTGACGTAACCCAACTCACTTAAAAGTAAAGACATTATATCTGTCGATTATCGAAACAGCAGTAGGACACGATACCCAAAGTTTTGCAGCCTCAATCAAAATACCTTGAACTTCACTCATTAATTTCGTTTCTGCTAAATAAGTATAACAATGTTTTTGACCTTCTGTGAATACACTACAGCGTAGTGAAATGTAATGCTCATGTACGTGAAGCTCAGGTCTGAGTTGTATTTTTTAATTGGCTTTCGGTTCAATATGTTAATCATCTTAATATCCGTCAAAATTTCACCCTTCTTTGTTGATTTGGAACAGTGGGGTTTCATTGTACCGTTTTTCTTTGGGAAATAGATCATAGAAGTTACTGTCTCAGTGAAAAATAATTAAGTTGTAATAACTGTTTCGTTTCGAAAATTCCCTAGGTTCAAACACCACTCCACCCACCAAGATCTAAGCAACTAGATGGTATCATTAGCCACCATGCCTTAGGTTATTATCGTTTACAATGAAAATAAAATTGTAATATCAGCAACTATGTCTCAAAAATGTATCTGAGATAATGTTATCTTTTACAACCATTCAAGTGGGAATTCGCAAACAGACGTTTTGATCAAGAAAATTTAAATTCTCATCTGATAATAAAAGAAAACTTGTGGGTGATGCGTTGTGGGATTTTAATCCACCTCCACCTTTTTTGCCTTATGAATTTCCTCATATCAATATAAAATTACAGCAGCCAAAAACTACAGTTACTGAAGTAAATTGCAGAAATAATCACCAGTGCAAGAAAGCAACAGGTCTTTAGCCTAAAGAATCTAACGCTATAAACATGCAAAACGGGATCCAAATCGTTTAATGAACGTTTGCATCATTTAGTGTCAGGTGCTGGGCAAAGGCAGAGTCTGAGGTTAGAAAATTAAAGGCAACTCAATATGATCAGTATTATAGACAAGATGTTTTTTGATCAATTTGATTAAATCAGTTTTATAGCGGTGAGAAAGATGCTAAAATATACCTCACTTCAATTCCTCGTTCCGATAAATTATTGCTGAATGTTTCTGTAAAAAACTACTGTGCCGCATCAAGTTATTGCAATCGATAACAATACTGTTAATTCAGAGTTTTTGCTAACTAGTACTTGTTAGTTTTATTCACCTTCAACTGCGACAAACATCTGCCCCAATGTCATCCATTGCTGCTGTTGGAGAGATTGTCACTGTTAATTTTTGATTGTGGTTCATTAGTATGGGCAGTGTCTAAATGTGAGGGGGAGTACTGAGGAATTACGTTCACGTAGTCGAAGCTTTCTACTGCAACATGTGAGCAACAAGAGGTTAGGCGTAGGGTATTAGGCAAAGAATGGAAGTCAGTCAATGACGGTTAGCCTTCACCGATTAAAGTGACGTTAACATATGCTGCACATGATGAACCAAATCCTATTTCGACGTTCGATACTGTCTAAAGTAGAATTGGGTTGGAGAAAGGCTAAGAGTGTTCAGACTAAGACGGGCAACCGATGTTAAGTAATATTACAATCCCTTGTAAAGTGAGTATGACTCATTGCCTAGTGCACGTAATTGCACATGATCACTGAGTTAAAAATGTGATTCAACTCAGTCCGGTACAAGTGTTTTTGTACTAAGCTACTAGTTACACTTGTGAGAACTACCCACATGCAAAGGTCGAAATAGGTAGACTGGGATTTGAAATCATGGTCCGCAGCTTGAGGGAGTTGAATGCCTAAGCTAATAAACCAAATAGCTTAGTTACAGTATATTCATTTTTCGGCTTTGAAATCATGTAAATCAAGGTAATTAGTTATAAAAGATCACAATATTCATCAAATCTGTCACGAGGATGACAGCATTTATCGTCACAATGTCATCTCTAAGCGAAATTATTAAAGAAAAGTTATCGTTGTTAGTCTCTAGGTTTTTGTGGTCAAAATCAAAATGGTTTCAACAATGGGCCGTATCTGTCGTTTCGAAATTTGACCAGCCGTTGTATTGCAAGTTCAAACCCGCTCCACCTACTTTATTTTTTCTGAAGCATGTGATATCAAAAGCTCTCGCACATTTCTTACGGTCGGTATGCCAGCGCAGTGGTCTGTACAGGGTTGTTCATTTGCATTGGATATTTTCCTTAAATGAAAGTAAAATTGATATTTACTGGTTTTTTATATAATGACTTATTCTGTAACGTCGTCTGTTGGGTAACAATACAGTTAAAGTAAATGAATAATAAGGAGCTAGATCCAATGCTCTCGCAAGTGGCAGGATGCAAGTGTAAATCTGTACAAAAACAGTTGCGTAATATATACATATTTGAGTCCATTTATATGTATATGTATCCATAACATGCGATACTATCCACTTGCCCAGACCGAAGTCGGTAAGGCTGGGTTTAAACCCTGAACCCATTGATCGTAAGTTGTGTGCTTAAGCTGTTGACCAACACCACTGATTATTTATGCTGTAAAAAGGAAGGCAAACTATTTATGTACTGATAAAGACTTTGTTTGTTCATGCTGTTTAGTAAAGTATGCATGTATGTATATCTTTGCAGATATTACGTCAAACACGTATAACTAACTTTAGAGAACTTCTGTCGAAATTGGGTTTCTATGTCAAGCTCAATAGTAATGCTTTAGGAGAGGATAGCAATAAAGTCACATGCAGTGATGCTGCTCGTGGTAAGAAACAAGGAGTGAAGAAAACTGACCAGAGAAAGAGTTCCCAAATAAATGAAACACTTTTGAATGCGGCTGTACGTGCTGAGAGGACTTTTCGACTTCAGGTCATTTTCGATGTCGCATCCAGATGTCAGAAGCGTTTCAGTGAACCTACTCCTGAAGATACTGAAGAAGAAATGCATATTGTAAGCTCATTGGAGGGATCAAACGAAGACGAAATTGACCTATTTGGATATGCTGGCCGGTATGTTGGTAGATTTTTTGTATTATAGCAGCGGATATCTAAAAGTATTATATTTGAGAGGTTAGTTTGAAACTCAATACCTTAACCACCTACTTGCGTCATTTCTACGATTCATTCTTATTTCCAAACGTAATTAGTTTAGTTATAACATAAGAGATATTAGTTATTACAGTTTCACAGATACACTATCTGCTACTGCTAGAGTGTTACTCTGGATTTACATCGTAAGTAATTTCACTAACTCTCTTCAATTTTAGCAAAGAGGTTTTCTGTTGCGCATATTAGCGTTAAACGTTAAAGAAAGTTTTCATAAATAAAATTTATTTCAAAACAGGTTTTTCTCTATGTCAAAGAACACTTTTTTCAACGATCATTTTTGTATAATCCTTGCTGTTACTTAATCTTGTTTATCCCAACCTTCCGTCCATTTTTCCTTGGGAATTTAACGTATGTCTCTGTTATATCAGTTTCGCTACTGACTTATATTTCTAGAGATTCATTATCTTGGGAGTTGTTTCATCGAAAGACTAAACCAGGTTTTAAAAGATTTAAAATTAGTTAGTGCTGTCGTTATTGTATGTTACTTGTCTGGATTCATTAGAAAGTAGACTGTGATCGGCCTGCTAACACGCGCCTAAATTATGTTTTAATGGTAGTAGGTAAGTTTGGTTGATTTGATAAAACATTTACCGATCAGCCATTAGATCATCTGTCTGAACCTATCCCACCCACTTTACTTTAAAAACCAAGGAGTGTTTTGAGACTTTACATGTTAGGTGTGATGTATTACCTAGTACGTAGGCGTCTGCCACTTACAGTTACCTTCTTAATATTGCTCACTTATGAAAGAATCACTGTGTGAGCAATAAAGAGGTCAGGTGTAGGGTACTCAACAAGGCAAGCGAGTTGGTGGATAAAGGTCGTGAGGCTTCATCGACTGAAGTGGTTTGGACATGTGTTGCACATGCTGAGCCACCACCTACCTTTACTTCAAATGCTACTGGAAGTAGGAACCGGTTGAAGGAAGGCTCGGGGTGACCAGATCAAGCCGTGGCATCAGTCCATGAAGTCCCTGACTTGGTTTGGGCCGTGCGGTAAGTTGTAGACTGCATGGCTGGAGTCCCGCAGATAATAGGAAGGTTACTGGCATTGACGAATATCGTTCACAACAACGCAGATGTATTCATTCTGATATTTGGATTCTGAACATTTTCACTAACTTTCATTTTCAAATTCTTTCTCCTTCCTTATTCTTTTATCAGTCTTTTCCTATCCACTTATTCTTTGCACGCTACTGCCATAATTTGAACCGATGCACTTGTGCATGAGGTTCTGCAATGGTCTCGCTTGTTTGTCTGTCTCTGCTAGGTTGCATGTTCGGAAGTTTTCAATGCATTCAGACTAGCAGTTAGCGGATTGACACCATGCTCACACGCTTACAATACAGTATATTGTATGTTTCTATATACACGACTCGTAATTCTTTCATGAGCTCCTGTGATGATTATTCACCGAGTTGTATCCTCGTATAAAGTATTTCGAGGTAAGTACTCTACTCAGTAATATTGAAATTCAAAGAAAATAACCATCGCTACTGTGTGGTAATTTTTGAGGCACTCAGTCTTAATAGCGTTTGACAAGGTATATTCCTTCACTAAATGAGGACGGGAACATTGTCTATCTAGTTCATTTCGGTAACCGCAGCACATACGAGTGAGTCGACTTTCAAGCCCTTAAAGAATGAGTCATCGGTCCGTATCCAAGCCCATCGGTTGTACTAACCGTCACAAAACCCATCGATTTCTGTATCAAACAGCATTTTCTAAATGTTAAATGTCAATGCTTTTGTGTCCTAGATATGCGAGAGGTTCATTGGGCAGGTAGTGGTTATCTCGAAATTCGTATAAATTTTTATTAGCACAAATGGTTTGATCATGGTCTCTGGGTCTCTGGGTTGCTCTCAACAATTCAGGATCACTGTATTTCTTTTATCGCTGTCCATTTAGCTTAGTGCTTATACGAAAATGTTCGATATTTCTGCATATTATAATTGGTTATATTTCAAGTTGTTATTCATCGTAGACTGACATCAGTTGGAGGAACAAAGGAAACCTGGGAGCACTGGACAGCTGTTTCGTCCTAGTATGGGACTCCTCAGCAGTGCGCACCCACGACCCCACACCAGCAGGGATCGAACACGCGACCTTCAGGTTCTGCGGCCAGCGCATTACCATTGAGCCACTGGGTCAGAAACCAATGCTCCATATTTCCAACTTCTGTTAGCTCATGATATATAATTGGTTATATTGAGTGGCGCCTAAGAGCTTAGATTTTAGAAGATTCGGTTTATCAGTAAACTGCCTTAGTTTTTCTTATTATGAGCCTTTTCATTGAGGTTTAAATTATTGATCAATTATGTGCTAAGTACGGTAACACTTTGAACTTCTAAAGGTTATTCAAATACTAACTGAACTTTTGTTGTTTCTGCTTGATTTTAACTGTTTACTTAAGGTTATCTGCTTAAGGGATTTTCGTGCTGCTTGATTCTGAAACTGCGAAGCATGACCAAAGTCAGTTGATTCTGATTTACTGTTCAGGTTGTTCTATTCTCTTATTCCCACTTTCCTGACTGAAATAACTGTAAAGAGAGCAGTAGATATTATTGATTGAAAAATAACACTCGTCACTTTTTGCAAGCAAGCATCCTTGTCCTGCATTTCATTGTTTTGCTGTGCTTCTTGTAAATTCATGTTCTTATCCTTTATTTTTCTACGCAATATTGTCTATTTCTTGCACCAGAATCCTCACATTTTTTACGTTTCCAGATTTCGCATTACATAGTGCTTATATGCATTTTATAAGTAGTTTGCACCATAATTTTTATTTATGCACACACTCTTAGTCTGCTGTCAATGCGGCATGTGGCATACTGTCTAGATTATGTTGTGGTGGATATAGGTCATACAGACGGTAAGAGAAAACGAAACCAAATCGCAATCACTTCACGACTGCTATAGGTATGAATCTGGGTCAAATGTAAGAACTGGTAGACCTTATTGTTCTATATTGCGCATAATATATGTGGTAAACAGTAATTACGACTGTCCATAACATCTAGTGTTATTGCTTGTATTATACCGTCGTTGATTGGACCGAAATGCTCATCCTGGATTTCACTGCTAGCCACTACCCATCATTACTGTCCATATAACTATGACTTTCTTAACAGAGTTCCCCTTCTCGATTTCTTTGTAAACCATCTACATATTTTTATTTTCAAGGGTATTAAAAGACAATGAAAAGGCATTCAATTTGGCTCTTGGGAACATCAGTTGCTCTGATGGTACTGTTGTGGATAATTACATACCCCAAAAATCAATAGGGGTAAGTCATTATTTTTAGTTTGTCATGAATACTATTCACGTTTTCTTTTGCTTTCTAATTAGGAGAAAAACCCTGTACTTGCGATAGACTGTAATTTTTGTGACACAGTTCTTCGCAGGGTGTTAAGTAATCAAAAAATACAAATAAACCTGTTTGCATAAAAAGTAAATGTACCCAGTTAACTACAGCGTATATTATCGAAGTGTTTGTACATCATGCAATATTTTTTCAAAGTATGCGTCATGGTGCCTCATATTTTTATTTCTGTTTTATTCCGGAAACTTAGAAAAATGCCCACAGAGTCATTTTGATGTGCAAAGAATGTAATACAGCTTTTTAACTAATTCATCCTCTTCTACCAAATGTATTTACTTTATCTTATGTTTTACACTGAGTGTATTGTGATTTCGGGGTTAAGTAACAGAATCTTTTATTATCGTTCCATCATTTCTTCACTCCTGGTTTTCGCTCAGTATTATTTAGGTTCTTGCAGATTATTGAGACTTCATTCACATTGAATAGAATTTCTTTGTGTAAACGATAAACGCATCATGTTATTCGAGTACTTCACGTGTCAGAAAGATGATTTGTCGTGTTTATTTTATGTAAATTTACTCAAATACTTTTCGTTCATAATCCCAACACAACAGTAGTTTGCCGTGTAACTTTGTGAATTTCTTGGAAAGAAATTCAGAACCAAAGCGAACGAGTGACTCAACAATAAACCAAACGTTCAAAACACAGGGTTTGTCTAGAATGCAATTATATATTCATAAAAGATATTGAGTAATAAAATATAGACCTCGAATCGTCGGGTATATGTGTGTTTATGTCTTTCAGGGCACTTGCAAAGAGTGCGTCAACAGTAAAAACAGAAAGGCTGTATCCAAGCTACCAGAAGGGAATATAAAAGACGGGCGTTAGTTCTCACGTTGAAGTAAAGACGCAAGATAAACACATGTTCAAGGTAACAGGGAACAAGGAAAGAAATTAAAAGAGCATCATGAACTAGTAAAGATACTGATATCTATGGACGTTAAATGGTGGACAAGATGCAATGGAGCAGAATGAACAGTCAAAACTGCGGGCGAAGCAACATTATAGAGAAACGTGAACCATACTACTCAAAAATATTAAGTAGTATAAAACTGAAGATAAAAAAAAGGGGGAAGGGCATCCCATAGGGTAAACGAGAATAGGTAAGAAGGGAACTAACGAACATTAGTGGAGACTTCAATTCAGCATGTAGTATTCTACAGTCGTTTTTGTTTTCGCTTGCATTGACTGACTAACTGACCGACAGACAAAATCAACGTAGAACCTCTCACATAGATGGATAGGTGAAGAGTAATGTCAAAGTAGATAGAGTTGTATGAGAGAATGGAAAATATTACGATAACGGTTAGTGAAAATATCCAAGCTTTCAGAGATATCAAGTTGTAAATGCATCTGAGCCATTTTGGGGTTGATATCAGGCATGTCACCAAGAGTCTTCAACCACTGATTCCTTTCGTCTTGGGAACCCCAACCAGACAGTCCACCTCTCCATACATGGCATATCGAGGTAGCTGGTGGCTCGGCATGCTCAGTACATATCCAAGCCATTCCAGTCAATTAAACTTCGTAACCTCATTAGTTGGCTTACCTATCTTACGTATTACTCTTCACTTTCACAGAAGACTATGGTAAGAAAAAATGACACGACTTATTCAAATTGATTCTGTATTTTGATTTTTCACGTGGGATAGATATTTTTATATTTAATTTCTCATCATTACCCGACCGATAGCTGGTACCTCTACGTGTTAGTTAGGCTTGCATATCATAATGGCCTAACGAGTTACGCTAGCTGGAATGCTTATTCCTTGAGATGCTGCCATACAATTTGCTCTGTCCTGTTATGCAGCTCTAAGACATTGTCGCTAATAGTAACTGTGAACAGATTATGGGTTTTCGAACACATGTGTTATCTCAGCATTGCTCACGTTTGATAGAACTAGCGTAGGATCAAGGTTGAGGCTAGACCGATGGTATTAGACAAGGAGAGTTAATCAGTCGTTAAAGTTGTGAACCTTGAGCGACTGCTGTGGCTTGCACATGTGTTGCATATACCGAGCCACCGTCTACCTGGGTTAGTAGGAAGCTCAGGGTGGCCGGACCAAGTTGTGGCACCAGTTCACGAAGTCTGACTTTCGGTTTGAGCCATGTTAGGAATTAAAAACTGCGTGGCTAGAGTTCTCAAGATAATAGTAACCAATGGTTAAGAGTTCTTGGTGGGGTGGGTGAGTATGAGTCACAATAGTGGAGATGTATTCACTTTTTGACGTCTTCTTAAGCTTGACTATTCTAAATAACCTTCACCTTCAAATTCTTTTTCATTCCTTACATTTCTGTCTACTTCGATGTCAGTTTCTTTTCTATCCACTCATTCCTTTCATGCTACTGCGGTGTGGCGACCTGACCCGATGCACTTGTATACGAGGTTCCATGTTGGTTTTGTTTGTCTGTCTATCACAACTAAAATAATATTTGTTCGACCCCTCTCGGTAATTTCAGTAGTCTTCATTTTTGTTTAAAGGACATTCTTTATTGACTGACAAATTATCGATCTGACTACATGTAGCTATTTCGCAACCCAACATTGTAGTAGACTATATTTTGGCATATGTAAGATACCTGGACATTCCAATCTCTGCAGATAAATACAACCTCATCAACTTGCTTCATACTCTACTAGCATTGGTACCACAGATCAGCAGTGCTGCAGGGTTATCCGTCATCGACGAACTATAACCTTCTCATAATTATTTTAGCGCCCACGCTTCAGAACCCTATAATGGAGAAAAGTGAAATACTGCTTATTATCATCTTTCAAGTTGGTTGTATATGATGATGTTGTCTGCCAACTTATTAAATACAAATTATTGACGACCACCTGCTTATATTGTCTTTCAACATCAGATCGCCATCTTTCTGTGAATTAATAATTTTCAAGTTAGTGTGGTATATTCGGAATACAAATCGACGAAATATGGTATTTTGACAGTAACATTTGTTCTTGGAGTTCATTATTCATTTGGTGTTATATATATATATATATATATATATATATATATATATATATATATATATATATATATATATATGCTTAGTATTTTTATTTCAAATGATCTTACGCAGGGTGTACAATCAAACGGAGCTATCACTGGATATTCGAGTATTCAAACCAAAATACAATCCTTTAAAATGAAACCTAATCCAGATCGTCTAAGAATGAGCATATGGGATAAAAACTACCCCATTCAAAAGGGTATGTGGTTCTGCTTCTTTCAATTTATTTTCACCGTTAATTAAAACCTAAGTTATTATGAGTATCATTTTTGTAGAGTAGTTATTTATTTCCTAGTAATTTGTGTACCTCAATTTTCCAGGATTTTAAAGTGTTAGTTACATAGACTGCGTTAGTGAATTGTTTCTGTTTGTTGGACTAATGTGGTCGTTTGTGTATATGATAAATCCGTGGTTATTTATTAATGAACTGTCATATTTCACTCTTGATGATCTCTCAGTTCCTTGGTAAGTCAAACGCGGTAAGATAACAGAAGTATCGCAACATCAGGTAATGTACAGAATACTATGGCTCACATACATTTACAATGACCTTGGTTATCTGTAGGACTTTCTAGTAGGTCATATTCTATTGTTTTACCTCTTCAACCAGTCTGATATTTACACCTAAGTTCATGTGTTTTTTCACCAAACTTCCAGGCAACAGGATTGCTTGTGAAAGGCTTCTGGGATTTATAGCTTCTTATGAAGATTTCGACAATCTTATTGCACATTATAACAATTTAAAATTTATTTTATCTGTGAGAGATAAATTTTAACGCAAAAATGGCTACTGTTTCATTTCTAGATCCACATATTTATTTATATGTTTATTATGGTAACAATGGTGGAATCCGACTTCTTTTTACAGCTGTTTGTTGTTTTGGGAAGCATATCCGAAAGGTTATAGGGCTCCCTATCTCACGGATGATTTTAAGGTTTCATTCTTTGTAGCGGATCGAAGACAACTTTTATATCGAGTGATGAAGTCATTTTTCGCTTGAAATACACGTGATAACATTCAAGTATTCGACGAATTATGAACATACGATCAATGTACTCAGGAAGCAATACCACAAAAGTGTTTAGTGCTGTGATGAAATTTCATCGTGTTGAAGAGATATAGGATAAATTCACACTGTGAGAATGAACTGCGAATATGTAGGTTTTTATTTCATCATCTGCTGATTACTATCAACCTGTAAATTAAATTATTTCCTTTTTTATTCTATTTCATTGCATAATTATGATTAATCAGTGTCAAATTAACGCGTTGTTTGCTTTTTGTAAATTAAATTCAGTTTGGCTTCATCGTACTCAGAATGGATGCATTGAGCCCGTTTCAGATATCTTGTCGATAGGTCCAAGTATTTCTCCTACGGGGAAGGAAAATAAACGCCCAGTTGAAGAATCACCAGTAAAATCACTGGGATTGAAAAGAACGCAGTCAACTTGTGGACGTCAAATATTAGTACCCGCAACTATTCAACAAAGTCTTAAAGCTTTGACAAATAACGCCGCTCCCCTCAAATTGGTGTCCAGGATAGTTCAAAACGCCTTTGCCTTGGACTCAGAAGCTCTTCAGTGGATGACACTTCCGGTGCGTCTTTTCTGTCACTAATATTTCTGTCATCCAGTCTACATTTTGCCTTCACATCTATCGATAAAGTACATCGCATTTTAAAAATTAATACAATCATATGGTGCCGTTTAGCTTTAAGTATTCTACTTTGGTTGATTTATTAGCTGTATCAAAGTAAAACAATGTTGTTTACTGGATTATGTTTCCGACACAATTTATTGTCCATAGTTTATATCTCAAGACAACACAACTTAATGACATGGTTTATGTAGTTGTAATGAAGTAAACTGTTGATGCCTACATAAAATCCATGGGAAACCTTCATATGGTAAATGCATTTCTATACCATGTTTAATGCAGGAAGTTTAATTCTCGCATCCTAAGTAATGGAATCTGGGAAATGATGTGAAACTTCTCATGATTGTTTTTTCTATACTATATTAAGGTTATTTCTTCGCTGTAATTTTAATTTATTACATGATTCCTGTTTCTATTTGTTTGTACAGATGTTTTGCAATGTTACGGTCAAAATAATGAAGTTCCAACCACACCTAAATTAAAAAGTCGAAGTACTCTTTCATCGTCGATTGTTTCTGCCTCTTGCTACTTTCCAAAAGAGGATAAAGTTGACGATGTAGCAGTAGCATTAGATGATGCTATCAACAATATACAAAATGATGACCATTCTGTTCTTTCATACACTCCTCGTAGCCCAGTGTTTTATAAGGTTAACTCAAATCCGTTTCGGTTAGCTGCCACGTCATTTCTCTCCTCATCAAAAGAGAAAGTTGCTACAGATGTAGATAATATAATTAAACCAGATAACGAAGATATACATGATTCTTCTAATGCTTCTAGCCATTTGAAATCTGTCCGTCGACACAATTTCAAGTAAGTTCATGAGACTTTGTTCACTACTGTTTGAAGTTTATTAATTTTTGATTCAAAAAATTTACTTGCTGTTTTTTCTTGTTCCTCTCAAGTTTTGAATATTTTCAACACAAGAAACCTAATCAATCTTTGTGCGTCATTTCTCCTTCCTCGTGTGTCGATTCAAACAAGCAACAAAACTACCCTGCTTCTCCCCCAATACTTGACTTAAACCATTCAACAGTTGAGTTACAGGACAGTTCATCAGGCGATTCGTCTCCTAGCTTTCTGAATGCTCATAAATTTTCTTCTCAAACTTCTACAAGTCTATCAGACAGAAAAATTGTTTCTATTAAAGGTTGTATTCAGAATTGTAGTTATAACTCAAGTGGAAAAGAATCCTCTCCTTTTCTGAGTACACCTCTGAAAGAAGATACTATAAACTCAAGCTTAGAACAAAATACTGTAAGTCTGTATGTATAATTTCTTCTAAAAGTGTTTCAGTGCTTGAAGAAAACGTTTACCTCAACTCTCCAACTCCTGGGTGGAAATTATGTAAATGTTTTGTTTGTAAATGTTACTAGGAAAATCTCTCTGTATATATATATATATATATATATATATATATATATACATGCACATTTCACTGTGCATAAGGTACATACCAAGAAATCATGTTAAAAATCAATAGCTAGGTCTCATCACGTTTTGAACGTGTATCATTGTCTTTGAAGAACTGTTTTCTTTGTTCTCTATGTTGGAATTTTATATTTGTGCATTTGGATATACTGTTGAAGGAATAACATCATCGAGTTACTTGATGTCATTTGTAGTTCCTTGTCTATAGATCATCGTTTATTTTTTACGTTTTTAATCTATATAGACAGTGAATTTATTTCACGTAAAAATGGTTTTCTAAAATAAATAGATTATTTTCATGTTTATCAATGGCATACACTTTTTTAGATTACTTCACTATTGTTAGAACTCATTCTCGTTTTTAATCTGGTTTACAATCTGTCTTGGTTGTATTGTGATCTCTGAGCTGGGTTGTTTAATCGTGAAGCTTTCATCGTCTTGCTTGACGATATCATCAGCACTAACTTCAGTATGAAGTAAGCTGTCAATATCTCTTCGTGAGTGATTTAGTAGCTTGCTCTGACCATGTGGTCTATGATTGGTTGTTTCCTTCGATTGTTGTGTCATTGATCGTATAGACTTTCCTGTTGGCTGTTCCTCTGCTCCACCTCTAACCTTTCTGTCGTTTATCATTTTTCTTATTGGTTGATAGATCGGGTCTATGTGTATGCATCTATTGATTGCTGACTGACGTGAATGCCAAGCTTCTAGGAATTCTCTGACATTCTTTGTGTTTCCTCTGTCCAGAATTCCTACATTGTCGAAATTGAATTCATGTCCATAATTACCCACATGCATTGAAACGAATGACGAAATGTCGTGGCGTTTAATAGCCAATTGGTGCTCGTGTACACGAAGGCGAAGAGGGCGGCCACTTTGTCCAATGTAGTGCTGACTACAGTTATTGCAGTTGATTTTGTAAATGATATTCGGTTTGTCTGAATTGCTTGTTGCATCCTTTGGTCTGCATAATAGTGTTTGGAGGTAATTTGTTGGTTTATGAGCCACATCAATTCCAAGTGGTCTCAGCAATCTTGTGGTTTCTGATACATTCTTTATGTATGATATGGCGATGCGTTTGTTGAATTCTGTCGATGACTTTGTGGTTGATGATGCACGAGATAGGCATCTTCTGATAGTTTCGTGGGTAGCCGTTCTCGTTTAGGGTGGACATCAAGTGATTTTCTTCGTTTCGCCGTGAAGCTGTTGTGCTGCAATGTGTTCTTACTCTTTTGAATAGAGTCTGCATGCAAGTGATTTTGTGTCTGTGTGTTGTAGTACATTTACTTTATACTAAAATTGACTAGGCAGCAATCAAGCAACTTTAAATGTAATATTTATGTTGTTAAATTAAATAATTTCTGTCACTTTATAATTTATTACCCCACTGGTGTTACTTCTTTCATTTATTATTTTTTGTAGGTTTCAAAAATATCAGATAATAACTTCAAATGTAAAAATCGTTCAAAAGAATCTTTACAACCAAAGACGACAGTTAAAAGTCATCTACCTGTACAGTCATCCAATTTGGATTCCTTTTTCCAGAGATGGAAATTCAAGCGCACCAGTACCTAAGACTTTTACCTTTACATAGTGTATATATTTACACTAATTTTGTTTTCATAGTGGCTTTTACCTCCTGCTTTAAAGTTTATTCTTACTTTTACTATTTTCATCAGAAAAAAAAGTATTTTTCAACTACCCTAGTTATACTGCTTTCCGTAGGTTGGGGGATGCATTCTTTATTTATCCTACTTTTTAGCGATTTCTACCAATACATGCATAAGTACTTCTAAAACAACATTTTTCTAATTTTATCACTCCTTTTTCATACTATGTATCAAAGTATGTTTAAATGTGAATAGTTTTTGCTAAAAATCTTTTGGAAGAAAATAATTTCGTACTGTACCTCAATAACTGTGTACAGTTTCGTAAATCAGATAATCAGTCATATTTTACGTGATAGATCTAATGATGCCTCTCTGTTAATCCAATAAAAGTACCCAATGCAGTGTTGGTTCTAACTGAGTAAATTATATGGCTAAACTGGAACACTTGTAATGTTACATACATTGTAAACGTTCTTTGTAGCATCTTTATTCCTCATTTCCTCAGAAACTTTTCACAATTGTGAAATTTTTTAAATTCTTATTTTGTCTATGAAGAGTGTAATCAGTTTTGCTACTTTGTGACTTACATTCCTTCATATTTTCACGCATGCTAGGATATATTGTGAGTTCATAATATATAAATATAAATTCGAAACAGTTCTCTCTAAAAATGTAATATTCCCTGTTCGCGTACGGTAGTCTGATTGAATCGGTTTTTTTTTCCATAATTGACCAGATTACTGTCAGTTGTTGTTTTAACTAGCTGTAATTTTTAATTTCTGCTCTCAAAGTACGCTGATTCATACCATCGGTCCTAACTAGACAGTGATACTGGTTATCATTCTGAGTATCTGAGATAGCCGTGGTTTGGTAGACCAGTATTGAGACTGGGTGATTATTCGTGAAATGAGAATTTCGACTGTGGTGGGATTCGAACCAGTGGACATTGGGCTCCTGGCCCAGTGCTCTACTAACTGAACTACGAGACGCGACTGCTGACCAAATTTTATTTCACTTCAATCACCAAGACTTTCCCGGCTACTATGTGAATTTGTGACGCGTTACTACCTCTTGATCGTACTCACACTGACTGCCCAGTCGTTACTTGTCATCAAAGTCTAACTGAATTAGAGAGGGAGGGTATCATATTGATTGTCGTCTCAGCTGTCTGAGATAGCCATGGTTTGGTAGTTAGATATGGATTGGTATGAGCCCTGACTGAGTATGGTCAAGCGGTAGTAGCGCGTCACAAGTTCACATAGTAGTCGGGAAAAAACCCTTGGTTATTGAAGTGAAATAAAAATTTGGTTGGTAGTCGGTTCTCGTGGCTCAGTTGATAGAGCACTGGTCCGGAAACCCGATGTCCGCTAGTTCGAATCCCACCGCAGTCCAAATTTTCATTTCACCCTCAATCATCACCCAGTATCAATCATACTAGTAATTATTGGTAGAGGCGTCACCTGTTTTTCGGAAATTAGTGCCATGTAGAAAATTTTTTGTTTCAGAGTGGTTACCTGAAATCAGAATCTTCTTTCAGTTGATTGTCAGACTTCGAAAGGAATTCACTCTGAAAAATGAAAGAAGGCTACAGCATTTATCTCCCCAAGCTTGACAGAAAAACCCGGAAACTTGAACATCAGAGAGTCGTTTCGATTCTTTAAACAACCAAAAATCCCATTTAGTCATTTAGTTAGCAAAGGTTAAGCAATTATTTTCGTAGTTATTTTATTCTATGATTGGCTTTAGTAATTTGCGGTAATCTCCGTATTTGTCTGGGACCTACATAGAAGTACTTGAAGTGTCGTGAATAAAAATGTCACTTCCCCTTAGATTTTGTCGTACACTCTTTAACGATCATTATCATGAATAATTCTTGTCATTAGTTTAGACAATAAACCTTCGACCAATCTGTTTTTGGTTCGAACACAATTCTTCCCACTACACTTTGAATGCCCGCAAAGTGTAACTCATAACGTTGTAAAAGACTGCAGGTACTCATACACCAGCCTGCAAGCCACACTTGTTGTGTGAAGATTAATACCTAATTGAATGAAGAAAGGTTTAGACCTGCGACTGTTTAGTTGAAAATTATTTGCTGAAGCTATAATTTCATATCATTTCCTACTACGTGGATCTGTGCATGTTTGCTGAGTCACATTATAGCTTCTATGTATAAAAAAGTACTGCATAACTTTTTCTCACGAAAAATGGATTTAAGTAAGGTGCTAAGAAATGTCGTTTATGCTGATAATGTTTCCTTTTTTATGTTTATTCCTTTAATCGCTCTTACCTCTTTACTTTATCCAATCTTTACTAGTTCTTTGTAAAAAGAGTTAAGTTATTACTTGGTGCACTATGTAGTATGTACTTTTATTGTAGTCGTATGCTTTTAGTAAATATTATGAAAGAGAAAACTTAATACTAACAAAAAAGCCACAGTGCCCCTTGCTTATGGATACTTTTCTTATGAATGTTGTGAATATGGTTATCAAATGTTGTCTCATACCATTTGATCTCTTTCATAAACGTTTTTTAAGTATGTAGTGGGAACTCAAATCTAGATAATCATAGCAGCATCGGAATGTATACATAGCGTGAAAGGTATCTGAATATTATTTTAACGGTAATATCACATAGCCTCCATGCTTATCGGATTGTTCTTCGTTGTTCCAGCTGTAAATATTTACGCTAAAAGTATTTTCACTGTGAGCTATGAATTTTAAGATGTACGACATTATGACGATACCAATAAGATACGCGAGTTCGATTATCAATTTATTTAATTACTGACTAATTAACACTTCAAAATAAATTTCATCAAGATAAAGGGTCTACCAGAAAAAGTTAGTTTTTTTACTAAGTCATCTAAAATAAATCGTTAGGGTGGATAAAATGGCATTTTCTCAACACCGCATTATATCCTAAGTGTGTCATTTGGCAAGTCAGCGCGTTATTAAAAAAATTGGATTCTGGGACCAGAAAGTCAGGATTAAATGAAACCTATAAAGATACAGTAGAACAGCATACGATGAAAAATTAATATTCTGAATAATTGACAATTATATAAACAAATGAGAAAACTACAGTCATTGCTTTCGTAAACTATAATCTCAATAGCTTATTGAATATATACAGTATTTGAAAATTTTTATAAGTGAGCACATTAGGAAAGATTTAAGGGAATTCAGTTGACAACATAATCATGGCAACAAAACAATAGAAGGAAGGTGTCCTACTAGGAAGAAAGAAACAACCACTGAGAAACCATAGATAGAACAAAGTGAAAGACCGACCTCAACTAGAAAACTAAGCTTAAATGAAATGCAGGTACTTGAGACAAAGCCAGACTTCAACATGGCAATAAGTCAGGTAAAGCCTGAAGATTCATTCTTAGCTCAAAGGTAGCATTTACATCAGTATATGACAGCTGCTGAACAAGTTCAAGTACAGGGTACACTAGCACTCAAACAGTAGAAGGTTAGGCTAAGTTCAACAAAATGATGAGTACCAGCTCTGAAGAATTGACAACGGCATAGTAATAACCAAAGCTGATAAATGCAATTGAACTGTAGTTATGACCGATTCGGATCACTTCATGGAAGTCAGTAAACACATTTGAATGGGTCCAGGTGAAGAGATTAAGAAATCTATAGACACTGATGAATGCGATTAAGAGGACTACAGTTGATCTAGTACACCGTACTAAGCTATCTATGTGTGACTAAAAATGGTTTACTTTGATACATAAAACTAATAATCCTAGTAGAACACATAGTAGTAGAGTTTGTAAACCAAGTTATCCTATCAGACTGGTAGTTAGCTTTAGAAGCAGCCTAACATATAAGCTATCTAATTACTTATCATCGGTATTATGTCCTATTACAAACCACTCAAACTGTAGATCAACTTATTCAAATGAAAGGAAACAAAAGTTGAATAATATTGCTCTAGAAGAGTCTGAAAAAAATTATTCCTTTTGATGTGACAAGCTTATATACTGTTGTGCCAGTCATCACGGTTCTAAAAGCTGTCAAAAAGGAATTTCAGAATGATTCTGATCTCACCTATGGGATTATGTTACTGACTGAAAACATCATGTTACGAGTTCACTCATGTATCTCCTCTAAAGTGTTCCTATTTCAAAGTAAAATATTTCAACGAACCAGAAAAACAGCAATGAAATCACCAATATCCCCAGTTGTAGCACATAATTTTATGGACATTTGTAAACGTATGGCTTTTAGCACGATTGATCCTACCTCAAAAGTATGGTGGAAGGATGGGGATGACACATTTGCTGTATTGAATTCCGTAAATATCCGTAGCTTCACACAAATAAATTCGATTTTCGGTGGGATACAATTTATTTTGGAGTTGGAAGATGAACAATAAGAATTAACTATGTTAGGCTGTAAAATAAAACGAAGACTGTGGTTTAGGGACAAGTGTCTACAGAAAACCATCGCATCAGTAAAGGTAGGTTTAATCATATGTTTATCTAATCGAGCTACTGGACTATCTATCTAGTGAGTTAAAAAAATTCAAATGGGGAAATGACACACAAGAGAAGCTTCACTGCTTAATGACTTCCCTCTTAAATTTATTCGGAAATACGCAAGGACACATAAAAATAGAAAAAGTAGTGATGTGAACAATTGTTGCAAGACGACTAAAAAGAGATACAAAGCGTCTATAATATCGTCACATGAGGAAGGGACATCAGAATTCCAAAAAGGCTGGAGATTAGTGTGACTTTTAAACCTACAAACTCACACAGAGACAAATTTTGTTAGCCTAAAGATTTGTACTGGGTGGTGATTGAAGGTGGGGTGGAAATCTGGACCGCGGCCGAATTCGAACCAGCGACCATATATATATATATATATATAAATTCATATCTGTATAAATCTCAGAGCATTTGAAACAAATAACTCCAATGTTTCTTGCGGAAGTCTGGTTCGAGCTTCTTCAGGGAATCGATCAAAACTATAAAAGGTCAAAATTCCATAGTTCATCTCATTGTTCAATTGTGTTTAAACTGCGATCGTTTCTAAATCTGATAATTAGTCATTCATTGTGCATTGATATACGCGATGTATTTATTTAATCTTGTGTGTGTCGCACTTCACACATTAGTTGTTACAAGATAATAGAAGTCGTATGTGCCATAATTGTCAATGTATGAAGGATAGTTTACACTATAAGTTTTTATTTCACGCAAAATTACTGCCCGTGATCACATTAAAAATTGGAATTTTTCATATCTACTGATTGTCATATTGACTATTTGAGATAGCCGTGATTTGGAAGACTAGTATTGATACTGAGTTATGATTAAAGGTGAAATGAATATTGGGACAGCGGCGGGGTTCGAACCAGCGACCACCAGGCTTCCGGTGATAAAGCCATTACCATTCCTTGCGAAATACAAATACCATAATAGTGAATTTCCATTGATTTATTAAAAATGTGTACCTTTTGTAAGTATGTGGTACAAAAATGTATCTGATTATAAGACTGTCGTTGCCATCTGCATGTAAAAACAGAATGAGCTGTTGTTGATAAGACGGGTAACTTTAGAGACCTCCCGAACAACTACTGAGATAACCAATTACGCTTCTCAACTTTGTGAGAAACCAGCTTCGTAGTCAAAATACCGAAACCTCATTGGTTATTTTGGCAGTTGCAAAAACAACCTTTAAACTCGCTGTGATTAGACCCGGTTTTTTCATCCCTAGTTTTTCTTCAATGCCACAGAATATATATTAATAATAATAACGATGATGAGAAACGTCAGTACACGTTAGCACACTGCTTATTGTAAATGATGATGACGATGACAAACCAGTGCAAATAGGAATATAAAGTAAGCAAAATAAAGCATTACTGCTAATACTTGTCTGGATTTCTTTATACCTATTTATTAATCATTGCTTACCAAAGTGCAGTCAACTGCACTCCGTCTTGTCTATTCAAGCTGTTGGAATTAGCCCACATATATGCAGGCATATATCAATGTACAATGAATGAATTCTAGTCGTATTCAAAAACAATCATAACGTGAACATAAACAACTGGGTGAACCATATGGATTTGATTTGTTATATATCTCCATGATTATGTAGTTTTTAATTACTTCCCTGAAAAAGCCTAAACTAGACTTCCGTGCGATACGTCGTCAACCTTTCTTTCAAATGTACCTCGTTGAATATTTTGTTAGTAATATCGTTTCGTACTGCGGTTAATTGCGCGATCTGTTGACAGTCATTTTTGAAATAAAGACTGATGTTTTACTCATGGATCTCAATATGAAGCAGCTGTTCATTTTTACAGCCACCTGCCTTTCAACCAGTTGGTGATGGGTTCGTAATCTGCTACTCTTACCAAGGTCTGGGCAAACAAGTAGTGTCAGTCTTCATATAGTACCTATGGCATTAACGTACTCGTGGTTGTTACCTTTACTTTTTCGTGAAATTAATTTGTTTCCTTCCTATCTTTCGACAAAGTCTACTGATGCAATTACACCGTGCCAATGATATTTTTTGTCTCTCACTCAACTGCTGCATTTTAATAATTTACAGGATGTCAATGAAAAATATGCCCTAGAATTCTGTCGTCTTAACATAAGCTAATGTATGCCCTATTGCAAATCACCTTTTATCTTAACTGATAGGATCAGACAAATATGAATCCGGAAGTTTGATAACTTATCTCAAGAAAGTGTATTAAAAAAGTTCTATTAAACTATATTTCTCGAGACGTCAACATTATCGAAACTGAATAACTAACTTCACTGTTGTCAGTTGATATCAACAGTACTAAGTTAACAGATAATCCAAAAACCTTTCACACTGAATTATTTCAATTGTGTCTATATTTTTATGTATAAAGGCTTATTTGACCATCGTACAGAAATGAACGTACCTGAAAAGTATATTTTCCTGGAGGTATATCGGTTATATCAACCCACTGACAGTCATAATCATGTAAGTACATATCTTTACATCCTGGACTAATACCTGCAAAAAGAAATGCAACTAGCAAACTTCAGTTTTCAATAAGTTTGTTAGTGAACAAGCGTGTAAGTCATTACCATTTCTGCAAACTATCACAGAGGTCTCATAAAAGGTGAATAAGCGGAACGGACCATTGTTTTCGACTCTTCATTTGTAAAGCATGGTCGTTTGCTTCAAAAACTACCAAGAAAGTAGCTATTTGATAATAAGTATCTTCGAATTATTGTTCGTGTGAACAAAAACTTTTCGCCTTAATCTAACCTGAAATCGGTTTAGAATAACGGGGAAATAATTGTAACCAAAACAAGATTCGTTGCATCCTAAAGTCAGTGATATATATATATATATATATATATATATATATATATATATATATATATATATATATATATATATATATATATATATATATGCATCTAGTTTACTAGTCGCAAACAGGCTGAAACGTGCTTTCTGGATTCCATTGCTAGCCACCAAGTAGACTGCAATATAATCAATATCCAGGTAGTATCGAGGCATTCACATAGAAGTTCATCTGCTAACAGAGGTCGAGCAATTCAACCGGGTATAGCAACGGAAAATTACAAGTATCAGACGACAGCCTAATATCATTAGTTGCTGTAAACATAGTAGTCAATATTGGTATGCGTGTGTAACGGGATAAACAACCGTTACAAGTTTTTTTCATGATGGTTACTTTAATTAAGACAATCGAATTATTGAATTTGCATGCAAAGTTTGTTGGATGAGTAAATATGTGAACTGCATACATCTTTTGGTAGCAAGAAAATGGGCAAAAGTTGGCACAAATAAACTATGATTATCAACTATTCGGCCGTACTAAAGCCTACAAGTACGCTTATGACAAGTAACTCATCTGTCGATCTGGTAACTTTTAATGTTTCTTATGATATTTCACTTCCTATATATATTTCTGAATGCGAAAAGTAAACCAACCAGTGGTCAGGATATCTTCTATAACTTATGGTGATTATATAGTCAACTTTTTTTATGTCTGGCTATATTTCATTCACAATTATTAACCTCTTCGAGAATAAACTCCAAATTTTCTCGCCACTTCTAGTTAGTTTAATAGGCGTAGCTCAGCGTCTAGGTACATAACCAGTAAAGGTGGTCCATAAATCTTTGTCATTTGTCACTAAAAAGTCATGGAAACATTGACAAAAATATCAGTAAACCTGCCAATTAAAGCGGATGGCTTATTTTCAGTCATTGGAGTTGATTAATCCTTTGTAATTCTTATACTCGTATAGATATCTCAGAGTAGTGATAATTTCTGTTTTCAACCTTTCAGCATTCTGTATATTTTGAAGTGAGGAAAGCAAAATCAGACGTTTAGTGACATTAATTCATATTGATACAAACCCTTAACAAGTTGATGGTTAGATGAACTACATAGATTTTTAAACTAAGAATGATATAATTTTAAAAAAAAGAAAGAACAGCAATATATGATAATGATCACAGCTCTTTCGTGACCATTTAGTTCAAGACTGAAGTATAATTTACCATTTTAATTTGTCAACATTTTATGTTCAGACATATTTGAATTTATTCAATTGATCTTTGAGAGGGAGGATTGTACGAATTGATTAGTTTAAAAGTAGTTTTCATCTTACCTGTTTACTGGAGAACGTTTGAAAGACTGTTAGCTTTATAAATCTGTTTTATTTAAGTTTGAAACTTCGCAGCAGTAACCAGCACCAGTTCTCTTAGGGATCGCATCAGTATTCATCTACCGGGTTGAAGCCTAATTGCTCACTTTTTCCACTTTATATCAATTCACACTATAGAATGAATACCATCCTAGAATATAGGTTGAAACGCATCCTGAAAGCTGACTTGGTGAACTCCACAGGTTGTTGCTCATCATCAGAGCTTCTGGAAATCCATCTGGACTATTCGAACTGATAAGTTAGGAGTGAAGGTAGATGGTCAGTGATAACGTTGGGTATTGATCTCGAAAATTTGTGAATCGAATGAAATCAGAAAACGTGAACTTATAAATTCTAACCCAGTAGCTGAATGCTTCTGTGTTCACCACAAGAACTGATGGTCCTAGACAATATCTCATGAAGTTGAGGTTATGCATCGCTGTGGAGTACCTAATTGGGAGGAAGAAGCCCTCCTGTACTCTTAGTCTTGTATTAGTTTGCCAGCTGAAGTTAACCTGCAATGCAAATTAATTTCCAATGCATGAAATACTACTTATTGTATAGTGATTATCGAACGTAAACTATGGATTAAATCAATGTTGTGGAGATAGAATTACATCACATAAATAAGTTGACACTTTGAGAAATACGTAAGTGATGAGTTTTAAAACTCAATATATTGTTAATTTAGAAATACCTTGTGTTCCTTTGCTATCAACAACGTTGCTACAACGGAATTTAGGCGCCACTCCTGATTTGCATAGGTTGTCTTCCAAACAGAAGCTTGCTTTATGTCCGACTGCAACTAACCTTTTTTCTGTGTCCACGACTTCATAGCGTGAAAATACTTTCATGCTATGATAGTGCCTGAAGAAATAATCGAAAAAACTTCTCTGATTATTTCAAAAATTCCAATCTAATGGACTAATAAAGGCTTCGTTATGCTATATGTTTTAATCATTCATAAACCTTCGATAACACGGTAGTTACAATAAAAAATCTTCTGTTTGTGGCTACGAGACATATACATGTAAGCAAAACAGGACAAAAATATATAAAACATGATATTTACTCGAAAGTCCAGGCAAAATAAAACTACAAACCTGACACATGAAAATGGTGGGCATTTCATTTTGACTTATCAATCATATTTGTCAACAAGAAGATGGTCTTTGAGTATATGCTCAGCCCTGTTTGCCAAGACAATATTTGGGTGCTGTACTTTTAAATATCCAAGCATCAAATAATTGAAATACGAGAACATACGAGTGAGTCATAGAGTGCTCCATACTACCCTTAGCCCTACTTCGTAGCTGGCAAAGCATATTAAAATATCAAAAATTATTTATCCGTAGATGAAATTAGCACAATCGTACTCTGACTTTCGTGTAACTTGATCGGAATACTGATTGCTTATAATTGCTTCTTTCATTTCACTACAGTTTATCAGCCTCATCATGTCTGTTATCTTATTATTCACGATAGGTATCTGGTTTTCTGACTTCCTGTTTACGAAGAGAATTGGGATAAGCAACCTTTTTGTGCAGTTCTAATTTATGCTTTGAGATAATCATCTGACTTGTTTTTTTATTGGCCAACAACAGAATTAAACGTGTACATTTCTTCTTACTTGTCAGTGGGATGTTTATTCATCCTAGTAAGTATTTATGTTTCAACTTAGACTCGAAATCAGTGCCTCCTGGTTTCCGCTGCTACCTACTACCAAGTCAGACCTATGTCTGATTGTAGGTAATATCCAGTCATATGCATAAGAATCTCAATTATCAAAAGAAAGTGACGACTTCATCACTGGAAACGATGAAAATTTTTAATGATTATCTTACTACTATTTGTTGACGTGCTTGTAGCTTCCTATTGTTTTATTGGATCGATTTGTTAGGCATGGATTCCTCTACTAGTCACAACCAAGTAAATTATCATAATAAATATTCAGGTAATATCGAGGTATCCGCATAGGAGGCCATTTGCGAATAGAGATCAAACAATTCGATCCAGTAAAACAAAGGGAAATTACAAGCATATCAGCAAATAGTAATAACTAATACCCGTTGTAGAAGAGGTTACTATCGTGCCACAGTGACCTAGTGGATAGCACCTTGGCATTTGAAGCGATAGGTAAAAGATTCCGATCTCAATGGGAACAACACTCACTGGGCTGCATATAAATCCAGCTGACGAGTCGCAAATAGGAGGAAACTCATGTCTTGGATTCCTCTGCTAGCCACAACCAAGTAAATTACTTTATTTATTCAACCGTATGAAAGAACAACGTTTCTGGGTTTTGCTACCTATTTGAGAACTAGTAAGTAGTTTGGAATAGCAAGGAAGAGAGTGGCTGTAGCCTGCAGTGATATACGAATGTGCTTATACTAACAGCACTAAATCTCAAAATGAACATTTTCTGATGGATTTGTTGATAAAACAAAATTCTTAGAAGAACACAATGCACACTTTAGCATGGAATTCACTTCCATATTAGATTGTTTCTTCGATGTAGTGAACAGTGATAGTACATTTTTTACCATTTAGCTTTTAGAGCAGAACTCATTGCTTATAATCACCACCTAGGAGTGACTTAAAAGGTCACCCTGGCATCTGTTTCGGTATCTTGGCTGGGAAGGTAGCTTCCCATAATATAAAGAAAGGTAATTCTTTGTCTCATCAGTTTTCCGGGTAGCCTTTGAAGTCACTCTCATCCCGTAAACTATGCTGTATCATTGTGCGCCATACTAAATAAGTATCCTCATATGAGGTTATACTTTACTACAGTGCTAAATTTTACTCCTACATCAGGGAGTTCGATGTTCTATAACAAGTCTACCCTTACTGTTTTAGTTGTACATGATAAATTCCATAGTGAAATAGTATTCTGGAACTTACAGATAGACTATATGTGCTAGTTGTTCCTGTTGTTGTGTTTTCTCTTAGCTAGTATTTTTGTTTCACTGCAAAATAAGTTTGAAGCTTTTCTCAAGAAATTAGATGTCAAATTCCTTAAGAGGTAACATGTAAGACAGTCCTACAGGAGGTTAGTCGCGGCCCGAACAGCTCAGTGGTGAAGTCGCTGACTACAACACTGGTGATGTGGGTTCGAATCCCAGGCGGGACATCAGTTCCGTCGAGGTTACAGATACGCCTTGCTGGCGACTGCCAAAAAGCACGGAACCTAGGTCCAGGGCTTCCTGCCGATTGCCTCCAACCAACTATCAGACAACATATTTATGAAATAAGAAGAGTAAAATTTTTAACATATTAATGTTGGTCTTATTTGTAGTTCGCAGCCTCCTACGATCACATATTTAGAAAAATTTATCTAACTTTTCTTTCTGGGATTTGATTGATATTGGAGTAAAAATATCCTATCTTTGTTGTATTATAAGTAAGTTTTTGGCTGCCTATATTCACGTATATTAACAATTAAGACATATTGTAAATATAATGCGTTGGTTTAAAATTAATATATTCATATCTTATCAAGTTTATTCCATTAGGAACACATGACCTCCTGATTAACGGTGAACATGTGCATATTAGGTACCAAAGTATTGTAATTATTCATCATTGTTCTCATTCTAAGTGTTTGTGTTCTCTAGCAAGACTTAATTTTGCTTATATGAGGTTCATCGATGGAGACAGATGGACCATGTTAATTAGTTTGTTGGAATCAGTCAGCAGGAAAACTTTCACCTCGGTTTTGTACCTGTTGGCAGTCGTCAGCAAGGCGTATCTGCAACATCAACGGAAATGATGTCCCCTGTGAAACTCAAACCCCTGTCACCCAGCTTTGCGGTCAGTAACGGTACTACTCAGCTGTTTGGGCTACGATTGGCTTCTTCTAGGACTGAATTAAATACATTAATTGGTCGCTGTAGAGCAACCAACTGTGTCAGCACTGAAGAGTAGATAACATGAAATTATTTATTCTTCAGCGACCAATCAATACGAAAATGGACCATATCGCTGTCGGCTATCCCTGCAATGGGTAGATCGAAGATTATCCATCTAGAACACTTACTTGGAGAATGATAATGCGTTTATTTGACCGTGACTGCCTACGCTTAAATAAATATACAAAAGTTACAAAAGCAAGACCATTCCAAGCGCATTTTGATACTGAGAATACTGAGGGTGCCTCTAGTGTGGTGCCAGCCAAACAGCTACCGGGACAAAACAAGGTCACTCATCGTGAAGAATGTTGGAGTCATCTTCAGTCTGTTGTGAAAACAGCGTTAAAGACCGTAACTGATCCATAGAAAAAAGCGTAACAAGTGGTCAAACGATCTCAGCATCTGAATTAATGAATGCATTTGAACGCATTTGTGCAGGCTCTGAGAACAGTGAAGAGTCGAAGTAACTGAAGTATAGGCTGATGAAAAGTTTATGCAATCACCATGAGCACTGGTGGGTGGTGAAAACTAAACATATGGAGAAAGCAGCGATGATAGGTAAAAATAGAAAGTTATTTTGACTTATCAAGTAAACTGGGGCGTAAATGTCAACGTTTATTTAGACTATAGCAGAGAAGGATGAGTTTGGAATTCCCTCGCAGAGGAGACAACTGGAAAGATGATTGAAACAATTAATGGACTTTCAGCCTTTATTGCTTTGCTCGCTATCCAAGCGACTTTTGAGTGAAACACCAAAATTAGCCCGCTAACTTTCGCTGAAGCTGAGAGGGTTGTAAGTAACCTGAGTAGAGAAAGGGCATGACAGCCAGACGGAATAGTATCGGAGGTTTTTAACGATGGTGGTCATGAATTATTAGTCAAGTTGACCAGATCATGGGAATCAAATTGAACCCCTTTAACTGAGCTCAATCAATGATTGTCCCAGTCTTCAAGAAAGGAGGCAAGTTCTCTTGTGACGGTAATCACATGAAAATAAGTCTGACTAGCTTATTGTTTAAGATAATTGATTCTGTAATCACTGGGTATCTAAGGGTAGTGTGGGAGCAACAAATTTGAGGAAATCAGGCAGGTTTCAACCATTGTCATCAGTGTTTCGACCAGATCTCCACTTTTGAGGAGCTTACTGGGCTCAGGCTCACTTACTGGCACCTAAAACTAGCTGTATTTCTTCACCTAACGCTGGTATTCTAACCCGTTGGTCAACAGGTCTTATGGCATTTTCTCTCACCTAAATGGATGCCGAGTAACTACGTCACTCTGTTGCAGGCTCTGTATTTCAATACCTATGGGCGCATCAAAGTTTTTGTTGTGGCATTAGGTAAGTCATTTACGTCCGTCAGGGATATCCATTCTCTTCATTCTTATTTAATTTTATTAAAGAAATGCTTATTGAAGTATTCTTCGCCCCAGTTGACTTCACAATGATTCATCTTCTCATAGGTGAATCCTTATTAGACCTAGAGTACGTAGATGAAATATTTCTGGTAGGTGAAGATGCTGACAAGATAGTGAGTCTTCTGGATACTTGGAATGCCGATTGAAAAGTGTTTGAGATGCGTTTTTCACCATCCATATTCAAACCGTTGCTCCACTACTGTTCTGTGTTACCACCGCATCTACAGATATCGAGTGAAATGGTTGAGCGCGTTGAATACTTCACTTACCTGGGAAGTCGGATCAGGCTTAGTGAGTCTGTGGGCAACAAAATTTCTGCACGGATACAAAGGACTCGCTTTACTTTTACCAATGTACACCATTTATGACGCCACCGTGATATGGTATTACCTGCTATGTCTCGATTATACTGCGCTTCAGTCCACTCTGTTCTACTATTTAGCTGTGAAACATAAAAAAGATGAGAAGCCCTTCAATCACTTTTGCCTTCGCAGCATGGACCATTTGTCTTCCAACCACCATATCAGTGACTTAGAAGTCAGGAGTACATTTGTTGCTAAAAGAGGAGAGTTAGTTGGTGAGGCTGTGAATCTTCATCGACTGAATTGACTAGAATGTGTTACGCATGCTTAGTTGCCTGCTACCGGATCGCATATCCTTAGTTGAAGTAGGTCTATCCTGGGAAAAGATTAGAAGCTGCCGTAATAAAACATGGCATCAGCCCTAGAACTATATGACCAGCTGATCTAATCATAATAGGCTAATGTAGATTTTCTGCTTGGGGTCCATATGACAAGTAATATCTGCGGTAGGAAACTATGGGATATTTAGCTTAGAATCGGCCCAAGAAACACAGATACATCCACCTATTATCTTTCTCTTGAACGTCATACCGATTTTCCTTACTATTTTACTTCTTGTTTTCTTTTGACGACTTCCTACCAGTTTGATTACTTTCTCCTTTATTTCTCTGTCTTCCTCTAGGTGCCTCCTACCCCAATGGGTTGATATGAGGTATGGCGTCCTGGATCGTTGTGTAATAATGTTGGATCCCATGTCGATGACAACTGACAAGCTGTGGACAGGCTGTCTGTCAAAATTCAACTGAAGCCTACTACATTTATGGTGTTCATACATTCTTTTGCAATTAGATATTTCGCATAATTTTTTCCACCGCATGATGAATAACAGAACAATGCTGTTTCTTAAATTTATCTTCAGTATTCATTTCTCAAATTCAGATTATCCAATGAAGAATATAGGTCGCCACCTTGAAACACATTTGAGGGATAAAAAAATTCAGTATCAACAATTTGTTTACTCACATATGACATGCATGCCATTCCCAGTTATCTGGATGTTCTAATGGTCGAAAAACTTCATTTCCAGCATTTTCAATGATTGATGAGAATCTCATCAGGGTTCTAGTCATCCATGTATAATTATCTGAATTTCAGCAATAATAGTTAATAAAAATGAATATGAAATAAGCTCTGTTTACTAGTGATGGATAAAAATACAGTTGTATTAATTTTGTAGAATATTAACTCAAAGTAATCTAATGATCAGGCTCTAATGAGACTGAGGTAACTACATTAGTATACAACGGTCAGAAAGAGATTCTTAATTATTGTCACTCTCAGTTCTCAAGGAGATTAATGTGCCCTCAAACATTCTGTTCCATTTCAATCAGGGCTCAAGGTAGAAGATTTGACTTAGTTATTTGAACTCCAAATTGAGCCTCATGGCATCCCCCGACAAGTGTCCAACATGGAGCGCAAAAGTTCACGAAGTTAGGCTACTAAGCATTCTGAATACATTCAACAACTCGGTGAATAGAATCAGTTTGTCACAGAAAATGTAAATATCATGGTAGTTGTAACATCGTGATTAATTTGTGCCTTTTTTTAAATAACGTAAAATATCGGGTCTAACTAGTGTAACAGTTACACTGCAACCACCTTTTTTAAAGTTAATAGAATACTGAAAACGTTTCCCATAAGATGTCATTATGAAGAGATAAGCTGGATCTAATTTGACTTCAGTCACATTGTATTTCGAAAGCCACGAAACATGCTCGTTATCTGAAGATAATAAATTTGATTATAGCATCAATAATTTGTAATGTATAAAACACGATTAGCATTAATTCCAAAACTATTTCTGAAAACAGCAGAGTGTTAGTGTACAGTTATACGTTTAATTGATAATGTACCAAACGTAAATTTTTGTTCACAGTTAAGTTAACTCAATGGTGCAATCCTCAGTCATACTCTTTATAAGCTTCATTCATTTAGTCTCTATAGCAGTGTTACTGCCTAGGTATTCCGTGTGCGTTAAACCGCTACAGATGCATTCATCACCAGTATGTTATGATATTTTCGAGAGTGATCGTGGTCATAAAATAACGTTTACCTAGGTAGGTTTAGTGCAGGAACAAACTGCTTCCGAACACATAAAGGTGGCTTTAATCTACCTATGGCTATCGCTTCTGCAAATCTCAGTACACGTCCCTGACTGTTCCTCCATAGAACTTTGAGAGTTGTTTCAATATCTGTTTTGAAGTCACTTAGATACATGTTCTTCCATCCTCAGCTGCATAACTCAACTACTCCTCTCTATGAGTGTTTGTCCACACAAATATGTGAACAGGTAAACAGAATGGGATGTGATGCAATCATTTATAGCAATAATTAGGTTTGTGATGTAGCATGTGTTTTGTGCAAGTCATCTAGATTGCGGTTACCTACTTGAGTATACTAGTCATGCTTAGAGTCAAGTCAGATTTATCCAAACGAGAGAAATGGTCGACGGAAATTCGGTCAACACTCAGAACTAGGCAACATCAAGTCATTTTCTCTACAATGAACAGTCATTGTATCTAATCTAGTTCTAATGGAGGTCAATCACTACTCGAATAGCTCAGTGGTAAATTCTTTGAATGCCACACTGTGTGACGCGGGTTTGAATCTGAGAGTTGAAATCAGTTCCTAAGAGGTTGCAGATGCTCCTTGCTAACGAGTATTGAAAAGTACAGATCCTGCCGATTACATACAAGTAACTTACAGGTGTAATCATAATTTTTTAAACCTTATCTTTCTGACTACATATTGCTCAAACAATTTAATGAAGTGTCGCAATCCTTTTTACTGCAACCCATCCATTCAAATGTTTTTCGTTTTACGAAATCGTGCATGAATAATTGAAATCGGAAGTTATGAAGCTTAAATACATATATTCATGCTTTATGTTTGTTGTCATTTATTTCTCCTTTTTGGTGCACTCAATTCTTCAATTCCTACAATTCTGCTGTCAGTAAAACAATGGATAGAACAGGATAAAAAGTCTCCGGATCTCGTTTTAATGACATTCTTACAAACTCATTTCCATTTGACTAGGATAAATATGTAACAAATTTGTCCTGGTCCGTACTTTCATTCCATCTGAAAGAGGCATCTTCTCTTGAATTTAATTTTTCAGCTCAACATACGAAAATTTCTGATTTGAATATTGATGCTAAGTTTAAAAAATCTCTATGATCACTTCAGTCCTCTCGTTCCAGCATTTCCTCAGTTAACCAAACTTGCTTAATGACTGAATTTGTCGATGTTGCTCATCATTTCCATAGTTCAGAACCAAGACAAAGCATTTTGAATTCCATCACTTCAAATCTTTGAAAGAATTACGAAGCAGATCTTTCATAATTATCCTCAAACTCGATATGGGATTAGGTGTTGCTGTGATGAATAGATGTGACTATATGAACAAAATGTTATTTATCCTCAGTGATGAAAACAAATTCAAGGCTGATGTCTTATTAGAAAATTGGAAGTGAAAGTAAGTGCCAATTTAGTAAAACCTTTGAATATGCATGCTATAAGCAAAGAGGAACTTAATTCATTGAAACCAAAGGAATCTGAATTTCCGAATTATTATGGATTACTTAAGATTCAGAAAACTTGTAATCCCTTATGTCCTACGTTGTCTGTTTATTTTTCTACACAAAGTGTCGAAATGGTTGGTGGAAATGTTAAGTCTACTATGTGACGAATTCTGTAGGTTTGCATTGGAAGATACTTTTGAACTTATTGACAGTCTTAGTTACATGAAACTTAAACACAAGACTATCTACTCATCTGATATAAATTATTCATTTACTAACATGCCTTTGTCCAAAACTATCAACATTTCCGTTGACTACATCTGCTCTAGCGACCTTCCTCCTTCAGTCGCTCCAACTTTTTGATGGAAATATTATTCCTATTTACTGATAAAGTTTATTTCAAATTTGGAGGTGAACACTTTCTGCAAGTTGATCTCGTACATATAGAAAGTCCCTTAGGACTATAACTAGCTGATATATGTATCATGTATCGAAAATCTGGCTGCTGTTTTCATAACTTAAGTTCCTTTTAACAAGATATATGTTGATGACATCATACTGATTTGTGAAAAAAAGAGTATATGGTTTGGTTACTAAAAAGAAAACACTGTGTAAAATCATATCTCCCTGACATGTGAGAAGGAGAAAAATCATCATCTGTCATTCTTAGATGTACTCCCTGGTCGAGGAGATAGTTCAGTAGGACAGCTATTTTACTAAAAACTTATTTAGCTAGGAGATTATCTGAATTATGACAGATTTTGTTCGATCCAGTAAAGGCGAAATGTAATAAGGTGGTGATTTGATGGTATAAAACTGTACATCACATCCGAGAGTTGAAGATATCAGATTAATGACCAAAATACTCTCTGAAAACAGATATGAGTTGTATTTTCTAAACCGTTTTAGAAGTAAGCTAACAATGAGGTAAACTCTGCACTAGGCTCCTGTCCATACGAAAGGGAGTCGAATAGTATGATTTTGAGCCAGGGGTTAAAATCTACCATTGCTATATCACATTATATAGCTAAAGTTATCATTGTAGAAAAGACCAAATACATGCTTCCTCACAAACATTAACACTGCACAAATGATTACGTCCCATCGCACTCTGTTTACCGGTTCACATATGTGTGTGGACAAACACTCATAGAGAGGAGTAGTTGAGTTATGCAGCTGAGGATGGAAGAACATGTATCTAAGCGACTTCAAAACAGATATTGAAACAACTCTCAAAGTTCTATGGAGGAACAGTCAGGGACGTGTACTGCGATTCGCGGAAACGATAGCCATAGATAGATGGAATCAACCTCTGTGTGTACGGAAAGAATTTACTTCTATAGTCCCAAACGATAGGTGATACCTTGACAGGGTCGGTGGGCTTCTATATCACAATCACTCAGTTGTCTACGCTAGTTGGAACATACCACAATACCGGACAGGTCTTTTGAATAGTCGTAGGTCGAAAGGCAGTTACCACTGAAGTATAAATCATTATGATTATTTGATCCTTGGGTTCCTAGTGGAACATAGGGCTTCAGTAACACATCTCCATTTCACTCTCTTCTCTGAAATCTTTCCAACCTCGCACCACCACTGCATGCAAACAAGCTTTCATTTCTTCCTCACACCATCTCCTCCATGTCACCCACGGATGCCAAACCCATCGTTTCCCCTTTGGCTTCCACTCGAGGGCCTGGAGCATGATATCCCCAATCGGTCTTCTCAATGCATGCCCAATCAATCTCCACTTTCTTCTGCATATTTGTTGAGTGATGGGTTCTTGATAACTTAGTTCGTTGCCAGCCAGCCAGAGTTCCTTGTTGCTTAATCTTTCTGGCCATCTGATTTTCAGTGTCAGTATCGAGTGAGCGTAGGCAGCAGCAGCTGTTGATAAATGTCTGTAGTTTGTTGGAAATGCTTTTCGTGATGCGCCAAGTCTCTCAACCACCACACAGAAGCACTGACGTGACTGACGTTAGCGTTGAAAATCCGGATGTTGTTCACGCGTTATGCTGAGTGTAGTGCAGTGCAGTGCAGTAGATCTCCACACTGGTTTCAGATTAATGCAGGAAGGCCTGTCTTGCTGTCCTTCCAATCCTGGCTTTGACATCCTCATTGTGCCACCTCCTGTAGTTGGAACGATGCTGCCTAGGTAGGTGAAGGAGATTACTTCCCTCAGGTTTCTCCCCTTGATGGTGATTGGTGCTTATTGTTGTTGTCTTCGTCGTCGGTTGGGTATCTTCATCACCTCTTTCTTCACTACCTTCACTTGAAGTCCATTCTTCGCTGCCTCGCACCTTCTGTCAACTTCTTGGTTTTTGCCTGTAGATCTTCGAGTTTGTGAGACAAGATATGAGACATAAATCATCGGTGAAATCCAAATCTTCTAGGCTCTTTTCATGGTTCAAGCAGCGTATGTTCCTCTTCTCGCTCCTCACAGTTGTCTCTTGCATGATCCGGTCCAGTCCAGTCCAGTCCAGTCGATCACAATCAGGAAGGCCATCGGTGATAGTAGGCGTCAGCCTTGTCTTACTCCTTCTTGTCTTCACTTCGAAGGCAT